TCTGTACCCACCCATGGAAGGAATGTGATAGGGCCCCCAAACATCAGTATGCATAATATCAAAAGAATTATTACTCCTTTTATTACTCAATAAATAAGACTTTCTACAATGTTTAGCAAACTCACAACTTTCACATTGCAACTGAGACAACTCAATAGACTCAAATAAAGCAGGAAATAATCTCTTTAGTGACCGAAAGGACAAATGACCCAATCGGTTATGCCAAAGCATAACCGGGCTCACACTCTGAGAAACAAATGACATCTTCTCTACTGACTCTTCCTGACGAGACCTCTCCCCGAGCAGATAGATCCCATTCGTCTCACAGCCAGTCCCAATCACCTTCTTCGTCTCCAAGTCCTGAAAAACACATCGGTCAGGGAAGAAGGTTACTGAGCAGTTCATATGCTTGGTAATACTACTGACTGAAAGAAGGTTAGTATCAAGCTTAGGAACGTGCAAAACAGATGACAGGGAGATAGTATCTGATAACTTGATGTCACCCTTCTCAGAAATAGGAACCAGGGAGCCATCAACAATAGATACTTTATCCCTACCAGAAGACAAATGATAAGTGGTAAACAGGGAAGGCAAGCTAGTCATGTGGTCGGATGCACCTGAATCTATTACCCAATAAGGTTCAGTAGTACCTGGAGCTGAGGCATGGTAGGCTGAAGCTCGAGTACCTGAATGTGCGAAGGCAGATGTGGTAGGAGCTGACGGTGACTGCGGTGGCTGAGCTGAATTTCCAACTTCCTTTTCCAACTGTATTAGGGCAGCCCGAACTGCAACTAAGGTCTCTAAAGGTGTTCCTCTTGTGCCAGATGAGGATGCTGAATCAGTGTTCACGGCCACATGAGCATTGCCCTTCTTGCTTCTCAACTTTGCCGGAACCAAGTGAGGATGCAGTTTCCAATATGTTTCTTTTGTATGTTTGGGTTTCTTACAATGTTCACATACCACATCCCTTTTGTCTTCCTTCCTCCTGTCCTTCTCTGAATCACCCCCTGATTTGGGTTTGACAKCTACAAAGGCTGGTGTGAGAGGCTRAGGTTGCATCATAACTTTCCTTCTGGTCTCTTCACTATGTACTAAGGAGTATGCCTGAGAGAGAGTCACACTATCTCTAGTCAAAATCTGTTGCCGCACAATATCAWACTCTGAATTTAGGCCCGCCAGAAACTCAAACACCCGGTTTGTCTTGACCTGCTTTCTATATATCTATGCATCTTTGGGACTCTCCCACTCAAGAGTCTCTAAGTGATCAATCTCACGCCACAGAGACTGCAAGGTAGAGAAGTATACTGAAACCGGTTTCTCTCATTGTTTAAGATTTTTTACTTCACATTTCAATTCATATGCTCTGGAAACATTAAGGGGTTGGTAATAAGTTTCTTTCATAACGTCCCATATCTCCTTAGCTGTCTTTGCCCACAAGTAATTTTGGCTAATATGAGGCTGCATAGAATTACACAGCCATGTCATAACCAAGTAGTTTTCCTGAATCCACTTGGTATACGTAGGGTCTCCCTTGGGGGGTTATTTCACATCTCCCAAGAGGTACCCTAATTTACCTCTTCCCCCATTAGCCATCATGGCTGATTGGGCCCATTCCAAATAGTTTGATCCATCAAACTTTACGGTTGTAATCTGACCACCTGTCTCAGAAACACTACCATAACTGTTGTTCCCAAAACTGACTTCTGCCTGATTTTTAAACTCCATTTCGGTCAAGTCTCAAAAATAGGGTTACTACAGTTGAAGACCAGCACTTGGACTACCAATCACAATCAAAACAGTGTAGGACCAATCTGTATTCACAGTGTATGTGCACAAAACAGGTATAAATCTGATCTAAAACCAACTAACAAACACAACAGCAGCAGTCCGTACAGTTCTCACCCCTTAAGAGAGTTCGAAAACCCCAAAAGAATCTGAAAATCAGCTTAGAAGCAGGTCTGATATGCTTAGCAGAATTAGGGTTTTTAATCAGTCCTTAAAGAAAACATTTCAGTTGCACATTCCAATCAGTACCGTACAGATAGACTTGCAGTAGGGTTAATATGAAACCCTAAAAGCTGATCAATGCTGAAAGAAAAAAACTTGAGGACAGCTCCAGGTAAACCGCAAGGTTCAGCCTAACATTAGGGCTTGCCGCAAGCTTATTAGGGTTTGCCGCAAGATCACTTTCAGACCCTAAAACAGTTCGGCCCAACAGTAGGGTTTCCAGATCACTTTCAGACCCTAAAACAGTTCGGCCCGACAGTAGGGTTTGCTGTAAAACCCTAGAGAATAGAAGGGAGAAAACCCTAGAATGGTTCGGCTGCCCTTTCAAGATAGGTCCAACCTATCATCTCTGATAGTACTTCTTTTAGAAAACAAATAACTTACAAGAAGAAACTGTTCGCTGCCTTCCAAGGTTACCCGAACCCTAGTCTTCTTTGGTTCTTCCTAATCACCAACACTCTGCAACCGTGACAAGTCTTCAACAGCTGCTAAACCCTTTGGCGATCTCCAAGAATCAATCCACGAACTTCACTTTCTCAACTTCCAGCCCTAGGAGCTTCTCATGTGGTTGGCTGGACTAGACTCACATGAGAAACCCTAACCTTGCTCTGATACCAAGTAGATGTTCAAGACTGCTATCAGCCTTGAACCCTAGTAGATTCTAGGTTCGAAAATAAGAGAAAAGGTATAGAGGAGAGAGGAGAAAGAGTAGAGAGAGAGCAGTAGAATACAAGAATTGAAAGGAAGGACAGAATCTGAATGTTCTGCCGCCGCCACTTCTATTTAATATTTATAGGTTATGCCAGTTGGTATTTATATAACAAATAAAATAATATAAAACTGAAATAACAAATTGTCCACTAGCTAACCCTAGGATGACTAGAACACATTCTACCCTACGGACAGAGTGGGACCATAGCTGTGGGGCCCACATCAGTGTTCTCTACAAGTAATGTAGTTTAACTTTCACAAATAATAGAAGAAACTGCAAATAAATTTCTGAAGGGATTTGAGCATCTCAAAGTTACGAAAATATGTTAGAAGACTGAGTAATCAATGGTTGCACCTAGATTTGGAAGTTGACAGTAGTTTCAAAATTTAAGATTTCTATTTTTATGTTTATAAACCAAATTTATTTTCATTATGGAGTGCCCTATTTTTTTTTCGAAGGTCAGCAATTAGTAGAATAGGAAACTATTAGTTTAAGTCAACTACTATTTTGTTGAATTTCTATTTTTTGTTTTATAAGATTTTATTCTTAGGAGATTCTAGGATTCTAATTAGGAGCCAGCTGTAGTTTTACTGATTGCCAAAATTTTTAAGCTTTGAGGAATCTATATATACATGTAAGCCTGTCCAGAACAGCAGAATTTAATAAGTTAATTTTTACTCTCTCTACAGTTGTTCTTTTCTTCTCTTGAACTTGTGTTGGAGAAACACATGATTTCTTCAGAAAAAATCTAAATGATTGGAAGTTAGCTCTTGCATTGAGCTGTTGCAGAAGGTTCAACAAGTCTCCCCTTGTGTGAGTTAAACAGACAAAAGAGTTTGGGCATGCGAGAAATAAGGTTTGTTTGCAGTTAATCTCTGTTCAAGAAGTTGAGTTCCTTGTCCAGTCTCCTTCCCAATCTCAAAAATCTGAATTCCTTTTATACCCTCTGAACTGGCATACTGAAGCACTATAGAAAAGCCTAGGTGCTGATAAATTTCTATGGATGGGGATGACTTGGGAAAATTCTTCATGCATTTTGTGCTCAGAAGACTTGGAATCAGTAAATCATCATCATCATTATTATTTTGCATTGCAAATTCGCATTGAAGTTGTGGTCAGCTGTACTAGAATGCTTTGGAGTACAATGGTGCCTCCCTGAGTCAGTAGTATAACTATTTAGAGAACAAAGCTTGTTCAGCTGTGCAATGGTACCTCCCTGAGTCAGTAGTGTCACTATTTAGAGGGTGGCCTGTAAGAGGAAAGTTATAATGGGGAATGTGCCCTGCTGTAATAATATGGGTCATATGGAGTGAATGAAATGCATGAATTTTTGAGAGTAAAGCATGTTTGGAAGATTTAAGTGCTAAGGAGACTGAAAGGAACTTTGTGCAAATGGCTAGTGATCCAAAAGCCATTTCAGGGGGTTTTATACAGTTATTTTTCTTCATTGTGAAACCCATTTTGTAAGCAGATATACAAACCACTTAATATGTATGTTCCTATTGTACAGCTCCTTGATGTACACGGGTTGTTGTGATTTTGATCATACAGAAATGCAATGCAATAATTTTTTTTTCCAAAGATAAAAAAAATCAAAAGAAATCCTAAAATTCTGGACACATATGGGTACAAGTATCCCATATAATATGCTTATGTCATGCCTTTATATATAGTTTCTATAGCTAAACATCATTTCTCAAGACATGTCTTCCCAAATTTAATTTTCTAATATATGTGGATTTTTATGGTATTATTTCTTATGGAATGTCAGCCAATGATTTGGCTGATATATTAGCTAAACAAGGGTCAACTAGGGGAGAACTATTTTTGAGCAGCATATGTAATAGTGGATTCCAATGCGGGGTCAACACTCCTTAAATGGGGTGCTTGTCTTGTGCTTATTTATTAACCATTAAATGAAAGTTACTGTTTCCAATAAAAAAGTGTTTTTTTATCTGTGTTTATATAGTTTTTCTTAACAAGTGTTTTTCTTGATAAGTGTTATAATATAATTTGTTAAAACATACCGTGTGTTTTCTTTAAAGAAGTGCTAATGTTATATAATAGTACATCTAGAAGTACCCATGCAGTATCTGGGTAAGCTTTTTAGTTCTCATCCAAGAGATTGTGGATTTTTCCTGGGTAAGCTTTGTTCTGCTGCTGCAAAATTGTTAGAAAAGTTCTTTGGATTCTCCTTTTTGTTAAACCAATTTTCTCTACCTGTTTTGGCTTTCAGTTTACTTTTATATCTTTGTGAAACAAATTATTTCATCTGTTTTAGGCTGTATTCAATGAGCTCTGCAAAATGTTGGATCCAGGGAAACCTTCATTTACCCCAAAGAAAGGGAAAGCGAGTGTTATAATGTTTGTTGGTTTACAAGGTATGTTGATTTTGAAAAGTATTTGTATGTATGTATGTATTTATGTATGTAAAATGAAAATGACTTCTGTTATAATATGCAACCTCTGCAGATGTCTAACTCAGCCAAACAAAATTTAAGACACTAACAAAAAAAGCATATCTACAGCCTAAATAACCTTATACTGCTATATATCATTGATATTAAGAACGGTCCAAAGGTTGGAACAAAAAGAAGCTATAGGAGTTTCTTTGAACTTGGAATGAACCGGCAGCAAACCCATCAACATCGGTTCAGTGTCAGCTGTCAGCCACAATTCTCTTTAAGCTTCTGAATTTATCTTCAACTACTCTCCTGTTTCTTTCTTTCCAAATTCCCCAACAAATTGCAAAAGGAACTGGATACCAATAGATCCCTAATTTTTTATTTCCTTTGATCCTGGGCCACTTAGAGAAGATTTATTTTATTGTTTTTGTATAAATAGCATATTCATTTTATTTGCAAAAAGAGATCTCCTAACTACCCCACAAAAGGGAAGCATGCCAAAGAAGAGAAGAATTTTTTGGTCAATACCACTTAGAGAAGGTTTTTCTAGAATTTGTTGGATCATGCCTTAGATTTCTCCACCAGACCTGTGTAGTAGTACTAGTATCTCCAGATGAACTCAGCTGCACTGCATTGATTGAACAGATGCACTAAAGTCTCTTCATTTTTACAGCACATGCCACACTGATTTGCTTGCCAAAGCAAGTAACCATGCAGAAGCTTCTACCCTTGGAGGAATTGGATTTACCCACACCCCTCTTGCTTCTTAAGGTTAGCACTGCTTTTAATTAGAATCATAAAAGGATATTACTGTAAACTTCCCACTAGCGCACTCTTTCCACCACCTTTCATCCTGCTGGTTTGGTGTCACTTCCACTTTATCGGTTCATCCAATCTCTTGGACAGATCCATGTGTTCCTCAATCTCTCTTATGAAGTGGTCTCCTTAAAGTATGGTACTAGATCACCTTACCATTTCTAACTTCAAAGCATTCCATTACTATTATGTTCTTAACCTCTAGAAGATCAACCACTGGACAAATCTCACATAATTTCCCCACCTCACACTTATCTAAAAAACATAAGAAAAAAAAGACAACCCTTAGAAAAGATTTGCGTTAAAGCCCAAAAGATCCAAAAGATTAGTACAATAGTTTGGGATATTCCATCAGCCCAAGATCCAAAAGATTTGCGTTAAAGCCCAAAACAGCTGATGTCTGTTAACCCTTGTTTTGCGAATGAATCCACCATACCATTTGCAGTTCTTCTAACCCAAATATAGGTGTTAAACTCTCATGAGGGATATTTCATATCCCTGAAAACATGCCTATATATCCAAGGGACTTGGCAAATGCCTTTTGACCAAGTGATGATCAGTTTTGAGTCCCGCTCTACTTCCAAGAAGCGGAAGCCAAATTGCTTTCCTAATCTTAGGCCTTGTAGAAAGGCCATCAATTCAGCTTCCAAAGAATCTCCCACTCCAATGGGTCCTGAGTACATAACAACTACCCTTCTTGAGAAATCTTTGAATACACTCCTTATACCTGCCTGGCCCTGGATTGCCCATAGAACTCCCATCAAAATTCAACTTTAATGTATTGCTTGGTGCAGGTTTCCATTCCATATCTAACCTGTCTTTTTCTTTAGAAGAATGTGCGACTTCAGCCCATGTTCTTATTATATCATTCACTTAGAAATCTTGAAAAATTTCCAATGTCTTTACTCCTTACCCAATGTGCTACTTTGATCTTTATAGTGTCTATTGGTACTTCCTTGGATCTACTAATTTCATTAAAGATTCTTCCATTTCTTTCTTCCCATTTAGTCCACACCACTGCTGCCCTAACTGCTTTCCATATAACTTTCCTTCTTACTATACACCCTTCCAACAAACCCCTGATGGAACTTCATCATCTTCCATGAATTCACTCCATAAGAAGCTGATATCTCTCTAGTGTCTCAAACTCCCCCTCAAATTGCATTACCCCATTACTTATTTAGGAAAGCCATCCTCCAAAGTGCTCTCCTTTCCCTCAAAAACTTCAACTATTACTTTCCTAACAATGCATTATTCATCAATCACACCCTTCTAATACCCAGACCATCCCAATTCTTTAGGGTGGCATACTCTGTTCCATTTCACTAAATGGAATTTTCCTACCCCTCCAACGTCCCAAACAAATCTCTTTGAACCATTTCCTTTATATTTGCAACGTCCACTGGAACCTATAAAATGGACAAGTAATATACAGGTAGACTCGCGAATAAGCTACGCAATGAGAGGAATCTCCCATCCCATCCCGCCAATCATTTTTCCAATCTCTCAGTAACTGGTTGCCAAGTTGACTTCACTGGTGCTTTTACTCCAGGTGGAATGCCAAGATAAGTAAATTTAAAGCTTCCTAGCTTACACTCAAATGCTGCTGCACATGTGTACATCAATGAAGAGTCAACCTCCCACACCTATCATCATGCTTTTGTTGAAGCTCACCTTCAAACCCAATGGTAATTCAAATTCTTTAATATTACTCTCAAATTTAAGACTTTATCAATTGAAGTCCTCAAGAAAACCAAGGTATCATTTGCATACTGAAGGTCTGTATAACTGAACCTTTGAAGCCTTCTCTTAAACCCTTTCTTAACCTCCTCTATGATCATCCTGCTGAGAATTTCCACAAGCACAAACAACCAAAAGTGATAATGGAACAACTTGCTTCAAACCTCTTTTTTTTTTTTTTGAAGGTAAAAAAGAAAATTCATTAAAAAGAAAAAGCAAATTCAACCTAGAGAGGTGTTGAGGAAACACCTCCAAACAAAGCTAAGGACCAACATTTTCCAACCACTTTTCTTTGAAAACTTTTCACCCATATCCCATCACATCAACCCCTCAAATCTCTTACAAAACCAACCACCCCAAAGAAGCATAAAAACTAAAGCCAGAATTTGAAACATCCACATAAGCACATAAACAAAGCTCAGGAGCCAAATGCAGAATAACCACAAATACACAATCCTCATTCTTTCACCCACAACTTGAACCTCTGAGCAAGATGCACTGCAACTTGAAGGCAACATAACTGTAGAGATGTAGAACAATAATGTGGTCCCCACTGCTGTTTGTCTATTTATGTTGCTTAGTTGGTAGTTGGTAGTTATTTTCTGTTTCTGCTATTTCTTAGCTTATGTAAGCAGTAGGGGTAATTCTGGTTTTTTACCCTGTTTTAAACTATTATATAAATAGTTGAGTGGGGCGACAATCTCAGATATATCCCACACTCTTCTTTGACTTTCTTCTCTTCGTATTCTCTCTTCTCCTTCTCCTCATTCTTCTTTTTCTTCTTCTCTCTTGTTTATTTTACATTACAACTAGGACTGATTGCAGTCTTACTAGACAAGTTGGTATCAGAGCCAACTTGTCTCTTCTTCTCAGCTTTCTCCTCTTTGACAAGACCCCCCCCCCTTTCAACTAATGTTATGCATCTTTATTTTTCTTAATATAAAAGAGTTTTATTAAAAATAAAGAAAAAGTGAGATCCTCCCTTCTTCTTCATCCTCCTCCCCTTCCTCCTCCTAACCCCCTCCTCTTAAGGAGGCTTATGCTTCCTTGTGTTCGGGAGGCTTATGCCTCTTGTGTTCTGAACTATCCCTCACGCCTCTAGGTAGTGGAATGCCTCGCATCACGCATCCGCATTTTAAAACATTGTTTAGAAGTTTAATAAGGGGATGGCAAGTGGGAAGAGAAGAGGTACCAATTACCGACCTACATTCTGATGATACAATTACCTGCTCCGGTTCGCTTGCCTCCACTTCAATGAGACCCTCCCTTTCAACTAGTGCTATTCATCTTCATTCTTCTTAATATAAAAGATTTTTATTAAAAATAAAGAAAAATGAAATTCTTCTTCCTCCTCATCTCCCCCTCCACTAAGGAGGCTTATACCTCCTTGTGTTCGGGAGGCTTACACCTCTTATGTTCTGAACTACGCCTCACACTTCTAGGTAGTGGAACATCTCGTGTCATGCCTCTGTGTTTTAAAACATTGGTCCCAAGTCCAACATTTTCAAAAGACATGTGCCTGGTGTGTCTTCCTGAGTATGTGCCTTTTGAAAATGCTGTGCATTTTTTTTCTGTTTTTTTGTGTTTAGCAGCTCTGAAAACCCCATATTTGCTAATTTTTCTCATTCATTTATCCTAATAAAAGATATTTTTAAAAGGCACTTAAAGTTATAATTTTTTTTGTAGGGATTAAGAATTTAAGACCTTGATATGGGCTTGTTTGGGCTTGCCTTGAGGGGCTTGGTACAAAGGTGGCTCATAGAATTAGAAGTGCATAATGTTGTTTAACATCACATTAGCTAGTTGAAGTAATACAATTGGGGAAAAAATAAAGAGATTAAGAGTTTACATGATTGAATATGTACGTAATTATTTGTGTTCTAATGGCTTCTCTTCAAAATCCTTTCTTAAAGCCCTTGTATTTGGCTCACTTCCTTTGGCTGCTTTCCTATTTACTTTCCCAAGGTCATTTATTTGGTATGTTTTAGTTCTTAAAAAGTTAAAAACTGTTTTTTATTCTCTAAGAGAATTGGCTAAAAGAAATTTTCTAATGAGTTTTTTTGATAAATATTTTTTTGTTAATTATTTTCTTTAGGCAAAAAATTCTTTCTTTGTTTATTGTTCCATTGGTGATTGGTCTCTTGAGTAAGGTTTAAAGTTCCAACTTGTCATGGGGTGATTCTGATAGTCAAAGGTGCCCTTTTGCTTCCAAATGTTTTATTATGCCTTTTTGTGTACCTGTAAAATGCTTACTATTCATTGGATTCTTCATTGCATTAAGATTTTGTTTAGATTCTTTAGCTATTCATAATAATGCATTCTATTCCTCTTGTTACAAGGTTCTGGTAAAACTACGACATGCACAAAATATGCATATTATCATCAAAAGAAGGGTTGGAAACCAGCTCTAGTTTGTGCCGATACATTCAGAGCTGGTGCGTTTGATCAGTTGAAGCAAAATGCTACTAAAGCTAAGATTCCATTTTATGGGAGGTACTTTTTCTACTTTCCCTTTCGGGAAAGTTTTTATTTTGTTGTGTTTCCTTAGAAGCTTGATAAAGTTAGGTAGTTGGATACTGGCTACTTTAATAAAGATTTCTGTTATTGATAGAAAAAGAAGTTGGATACTGATTACTATAGTACTATATACACTATTAGTTAACTATTAATATATTATATCATGGACCTATGGTGGAAAAATTTTAAAATTTTGTCTAATTGATTTGATATAAAGCATCAACATCTACCATGTTATAATCTGTATTATTATTATTATTATTTTTTTGGCAAAATAAAAGGAACCAATAAAAAACATCAAGGGTACATAATGAGACCCTTGATGTCATAATCTGTATTATTGTTATTATTATTGAAATCTAGGCATAGAAGATACATCCTATAACCCTAGTATTTTTTTTTATGAATGATTCTATAACCCTAGAGAGAATACTAGAGATATTTTCAGGCCTGGACTGGAATCAAATATAGGTATATAATGTTTTCAGGCCTGGACTGAATTTAGACACGGGATTAGGTCCCACCTTTGTCATTTTAATGCTTGATATTTTTTCACTAACTGATTGCTTATCAAAAATAAATAAATAAATATGGGTGGGTAGTAGTACTAGAGATCTAACCTCACTCTTGATTTTACACCTCCCCTTGTAATACCCGTATATATATTGATGAGTAACTGTTAATTATATTAATGAAGATCAGAAATATGATAAAATTACAGTCAACCCTTGGGTATGGTAGCAGTTATTACCCTATCACTTCAAGAACATTCATATTAACAAGCTCAATACAATTGATTTCTGGTAATCCCTTGCTTAGCTAGAGTGTCAGCCATCCCGTTTGCAGATCTCAGCACCTATTTTGTCTTCAATTCTTCATATTTATGCCTCTTGCCAACTATTTTCTGCAATACCTATTTATTACTGAAACACCTTCAAACAATCCCTTGGAAAAAGATGTTGATGATTGATAAATTTACAGATAGTCAAAGTCTGTTCAGATTTTTGATATTTAGTTTTATCTTCTAGTTTCATCTTCTATCTATCTATATAATAGAAAAGTTAAATAGTTATTTTGCTTACTGGGGTTAAGGCAGTTCCAAACAATCCCTTGGAAAAAGATGTTGATGATTGATAAATTTACAGATAGTCAAAGTCTGTTCAGATTTTTGATATTTAGTTTTATCTTCTAGTTTCATCTTTGATACTATCTAATAGAAAAGTTAAATAGTTATTTTGCTTACTGGGGTTAAGGCAGTTCCAACGAGCTTTATGAATGAAAAAGAAAACAGTTGCATATTGTCCATATCAACGTACTCTAGCATCCACAATAAAATGTGAAAGAAGCCTAGGAATTGCCTTACCTATACAAAGGCTCACCACTTTCACTATTGTGAAGGAAGCTACAAAGCCAGATGCTACATAAAAGGCCATTACCAAATGTTGGTCGCAGCTATCTGGGGTTTTGGGAAGGGCAGACTGCATACAGTCCTAGTTATTTTTTTATTTTTTGTACAAAGCCACTGCTCTAAGATTCGAAATTGTGTTCTCATTTTCCAAAAATTTATTTCTTGTATACATCTTAATTCTCTCCAAATCTATACCTATTCAACCATATAATCTTTTTGCTTTCATAGTTTGAGTGTGAGGTAGATGATAAGATATAAGACACCATCATTAAAGAGCCAATACCATTTATTACTTATTAGGAAGCTTTTCAGCTCTGAACTGTGGTTTAAATGTTTTAAGGAGTGAACATTAAAAAATGCAATTAAAAAAATTTGAAAACCATATTTTCTATTTTTGAGTTGCAATTCATTGATTTCAACATGAAACCATGTCTTTTGCAACTTGAACATTGTATCCTGTTTTTTAACCAAGTAATTTGGTTTTATCTAGGTCAGGCTGCTCTTTGTGCTCTCTCAAGTTCACATTATGTTTGGTTTTGTCCACAGCTACATGGAGTCAGATCCTGTAAAAATTGCAGTGGAAGGTGTTGAGCGTTTTAAGAAGGAAAATTGTGATCTTATTATTGTAGATACAAGTGGACGCCACAAACAGGAAGCTGCTCTTTTTGAAGAAATGCGTCAAGTTTCTGAAGCAACGGTATTTCATGTTCTTTTATTTCTGTACATTCTCTATTGTTCCTGAGCTTTACAAATACTTAACTGTCTCTTCTAAATCATTCAGAAACCCGATCTCGTTATATTTGTTATGGATAGCAGTATCGGTCAAGCTGCATTTGATCAGGCTCAAGCATTTAAACAAAGTGTTTCAGTTGGTGCTGTCATTGTTACTAAAATGGATGGTCATGCGAAAGGAGGTGGTGCTCTTAGTGCGTAAGTATTGTTGTATTATTGGCTCTGTTAATATCAATAGTTACAACTGATTGCTGAACATATAGTTTTTCTGTAGCAGTTGCTGAAAATGCTCTATTCAATCTTGATATGTTAACTATTCCTCACAAAATCCTGGCCCACCTACCATCCATTTCACTTAACTTTGTTTCTTGAAACCAGTGATTTAAAAGGTGTGCCTAGGTGCACAGGTGAGGTGTATTTTAAGGGATGCACCTTGCCTAGGCCTCAGGTGCAGCATTTTGAAAAGGTGCATGCCTTTTCAAAATTCGTGCCCTTTTCTCCTTTTTAAGCTAGCTCATTTTCAAAATTCTTCACATTCCAACTGACAATCTTCATATCTTTACTTCTACCTACCCTTACTTTCCTCGGCTACCCTATCTACTCCCTCTCCTATCTCCTCTTCCACTGAATTCTAGATCACCTTCAATATCAGAAATTAGTCTCTCATCTTTCTTTTTTCCTCTTTTCACCCTCCTCTTCACTCTACTTAACATCCATTTTTACCTTTACCTCTCCTGGGCTGTTTACATGAAGACCTTGTTTCCTAGCAAACTGGACTACTAGATTTCCTTCCAATTCCTCAAGCCATCTCGGCATCCCCCCTTCTATCAGATCTTCACTATTTTGGTTCTGCATTCCCCCCATCTCTGTTTCTCTCCTTTGCAATCCTAGTATCTCTTTTTCTTTTCAACTCTTCAAGCAAATTGCTTATCAGTTCCTAAATCTTTTTCCCTAAGCTCCTTCTCTTGTAGTTTAGCCAATTTGTCATACTCCTCTCGTCCTTCCTTTCTCCCTCTCCTCTAACTATACACTGTTGCTTCAACAGACAGGCTGGGACTGAACCAGATGTGCAAGAGGCACAGAGATAATATTAGTACCCAAAACAGAATTGACAACCATACCTTGAGGGGGAGTAACAAGGATTTCCAGTATCAACAGGAGCAGCAGCCAAATCCTGGTGTTTGATTTGCAGAGGTTCAGCCCTCCTCGGTGAAAGGTCATTTGGGAAGCAGTGGCTTCTACAGTCTCCACCAAGAACAAATTACAAGTTGAATGGAAACCCCCACCGAATGGAGTGGTAAAATTGAACTTTGATGGTAGCTGCCAAGGTAACCCAGGGCCATCCGGAATTGAAGGAATTCTAAGAGACGGAGACAGAAATATGTTGTCTCTTTTCTCAGGACCAGTGGGGGAAGGTGATTCTGTAAGGGCAGAGCTACTAGCAGCGGTACAAGGTATACAGATGGCTAGTCAATCAGGAGTGAGAAATTTGTTAGTAGGAGACTCCAAGGTAGTAGTGGGCTGGCTGAATAGCCCAGACACAGTTTGTTGGGGCAACAGGGATCTGGTAAAGAAAATTATATGGATGACAAGAAATATGACTGTTAGGTTCCAGTGGGTTAGCAGATCAGCAAATGTAATGGCTGATTCTCTGGCCAAGCAAGGGGTGATCTGTTTTGGGATAATTTGTAATTTGTATCTCAGGTTTGGGCATGTTTTAGTGCTTATGATTCAGTCCTTGGGGGAGGTAAAATCTCGTGCCTCTTCCTAGGCTGCATGTATTTCTGATATTTTTTCAATAAAATTACTCTCACTTATCAAAAAAAAAAAAACACCTGGCATCTCTTGACTAAGCTTTGGGTCAGACTTCAGAGCCTGTGCTCTCCTTGCACACACCCTGCATTTGTACCAGATTTGGCACACATTCTCCTCGTTTGAGATCAGTTTTGAACCCTCTACTGTGTCTTGTTTTTCTTTTTTATTCTTTGGAACCTACTCCTCCACTGTATTTTCATTCTATTCTTGGGGATTGTCAGCCACCATCTTCTTTTCACCTTCACCAAAGAGAACATCAGTGTTTTAGTGAATCTTCTGCCTCCACCTTTGCTCTCCCCAGTCCCCTCCAAGTCCACACTACCAATGCATAGTTGTCAAGGTGACGCCTAGGTGTTGCCTAGGCTACTAGGCGATTTTTAGAAGTCGCCTTGCCCAACGCCCAGGTGTTTTTGTATTAGGCGCTCACCCATATATATGTTATATTATTTTTTTGAATGTGCATATGTATTATATCATTTTATTGATTTGTTTTATCTTATTAGAATACACCCTGTTGTATGTTATCATTTTTTGTTAAAGTTATTCTCTTTTGCATTAAAACTATGAAATTTTCTTTGGGTTTGAGACTTTGAGTTTTGAACCGAGAGCTGAGAAGAGAAAGTGATGAGGGTAGATTTGGCCCTCCAGTGAAGTTGCGACACGTGGCACCTCGTGACAACTAGGCAAGCCCCCAGGCAACAACTTACCAAGTTGGTCCCCCCTCGGGCACCGGTCTGGCTGGCCTGGCGCG